AAAATGTCTTGAGCAAATTATCGATCCTGATTATTTTACAATGATTGATATTATTGGACCATCAAATATAAATTACAATTATTTAAATGCTTCATTCGTGTATTCTCAACTATTGAAAGAAATTCTATTAGATATTCATACAGAGAAAGAAACTGATCGACGTTCATTTATTGAGCATTGTTATAAACCTCTTTCTGACAATACAATCATTGATCTATTTGGTATTGATTATAAAAAACATTCTCCGATTTATTGTTATTCTATTTATCCATCCGTATTCAACACGGTGAATCAAGCGCTGCGTACTGTAAATGTTGATTTACTTGTAAAAATGACCTTTTTTATTGGTGATCTTCACAAACAAATCAAAGAATTACATCCCAAGGTACCAATCAAAGACAAATTAGTCGTTTTCCGTGGTCAAGCGTAAGTGTCACATAACGATGAATTTTACATTTTGCCTTGTCCCTTTATTTCCTCTAGTCTAACGAAAAGAGAATGTAAAAAACTTGAAACTAGCATTGGCGGTTTTATATCATTCAACTGTTTCCTATCGACAAGTACTAAACAAGACATTTCAGAAATGTTTGCCGAAAGTAATAGTTCCGCACAAGGTTGTAATGGTGTATTATTTGAAATTGAAATTGATCCTGAAATTTCATCGAGTCCATTTACATCAATCGAAGAGTATTCTCAATTTCCGGAAGAGCACGAAATTCTTTTTTCAACACATACAATCTTTCATATAGATCGTGTGTCTGTACAAAATGATGGTTTATATTATGTTCATCTAAGTTTAACAAACGATGATCACGATAAAAATCTTTATGAATTACTTGTTTATCGAAGAAAAGAAATTGAAGGACAAACCTGCATACATCGTCTTGCTCAATTATTATATCAAATGGGTAAATTTCAGCATGCCAAACATTTCTTTCATATATTACTTGGTACCACTTCCTCTTGGGATGAGATCTTTCAGCTTAGCCATTATATCGCTCGAATAGATTGTCAGATTGGTGATTTAAAACATGCTACAGCTCAGCAAGCCATAGCAATGCAATTTGATGCTGGTCGTAATCCCGCACTTACTGCTGATATCAATGCTGGCATGGCAGAAGTCTTTTTACGAAGCGATATGCTCGAGGATAGTTTAGAGTTATACATGAGAGCGTACACAATCGCTGAACGATCACCAACAATTAACGATCACAGTAAAGTTTTATATCTCAATAATATTGGATTTGTGCTTAAACTTCAGAAGAATTACGATCAAGCATTGACCCATTTTCAAAAAGCACTAGATATTGCCGTCGCTCGATTTCCATCAACACATCCGGATATAGCTAATATCTACCAAAATATCGGATCGCTTTACTTTGATAAACGCGATTTCAAGATGTCTATTGATTATTTAAAGAAATCATTCGATATTCAAGAAGTATCTTTGCCGTCGGATCATCCATCAATGGGTTATATACATTATAATCTTTCTAAGGTGTATGTGGAACTTAATCAATGCGATCAGGCCATTCATCACAGCCAGTTGGCAATCGATATTTTGAAAAAGTCGTTTTCTGATGATCATCCAGAAATACGCAAAATTCAAGGGCATCACGATGCAGTATCTGTTGTTCAACGTTGGAAGCGTTCATCTGATACATCGCAACATCGAGCAGGGTGTGGGTGGGTGAGGGTGAGGGTGTGGGTGTGGGTGTGGGTGATAAATCATAGATATTCATATTCTCGCCCTCACCCTCAATGAATGTTTTTCTCCTTTTTTGAAATGTTAAAAACTTTATTTCGAAAACAAAACTCGATATTCGAAAAGAATCATTGTCCTAAAACATAATCTCGTGCCATTTTAATCAGTTTATCATGCATTGAAATTGTATTACATAGATCCCGATTGCGAAGCATCTCACACGTTCCTTTCAGACGAAATTTGTTCGCATTGTTTGTTACAGAAAAGGATGTACTAACAAACACTTCATCCGAATCCTTCAAAAGGAAAAAATCATAAAATTCAAATTTAAAGAGATGAACAACTCACTGCTTCGGCAGTACAACCAGCGGTTATTTTCGTTGCCAAGGGTCTTATTCCAATAAAACAGTTTCCATCAGCACAGTTGATATTTCGATTCGATAAACTGTAATAACACTTCAGTCTCGAGTTTGAGTAAGATAACTGTTGAAGAAGAATTGATTGAAGTTCTTTTCTTATTCTTGGTTTCGACTTTCTCAATGAATATAATTGTCGAAGAAGTTGTTCAGTTGCTTCGATAATACAATAATCATTGGTACGACAATAAGCAACTGCACCCATATAGAACGTCTCAAATAAAAAGGATTCTTTTGTTTAGTTGCTTCAAAGAAACAAAAACTTATTTTACTTCTTCTGGTTGGAATTTATAATCGAATTGATATTTTGTAACACTTTTTTGTCCTTGACTCGACGATAATAGAAGTTCTAATTGACGAGCTTGTTCATCAACAATCGAATTCGGTATTAGACTCCACTAGACATAAACATTATTGGTAAAATAGCCAATTGAAAGAAATAATTTACATAAACCAATATCTTTGTTACCTTCGCTTTTCTCTTGATGTTTATTTTAACACACACCCCCCTCTCGTCACAAAATGGACAACTATATATATAGGTTGGCAAGGGAAAAAATCCATATCTGAATACGCAAGGAAAATCCCTCATATATGAAAGAGAAGAATTTACCTCTCGATAGAGAGAATGACAAGAAAGGAAAATACCTATATATATGACGAAGAACAGAAAGGAAAATGCCCATCGATAGAGAGAGAATATAACACATACGATCATAGGAATGATCGATCTTATGAACTGCATCTGGATAAGATGTAGGGCATAACAATCTTCCTCTGATATTTCACATTCATCTGGTAATGAAGATTGTTCTGGTACTGAATCGCCGATTTTCAATTGAAATTCACACGATGGACATTTTAACGATTGAACAACTGAAGTGAAGATCATGAACATGAAAATAGATGAAAGCATTATAATCAAATTGAAGAATAGACAATTATATGAACAATGCGCTTTTTTCGACTTTTGCATTGATTTATTTCGAAAACTCTGCGCAAAAAAAGACTTTTCAAAATCAGGTCGAAAGCACTATATTATAAACGATACTCACACTGACTCATCGTGTAAGTGCATCGTAACATTTGAAATATATAAAATTTGCATGAAATACAAAAGATTTCGAACACCTGTTTCTGATCGTTGTGAATGATGGAGGCTCAATAACTTCTGTGAGATCGAAGATGGATGATCCACTTGTTGATGATTTTGTCGAATTGACATGATTGAATGGAGAAAAAGAAAGGGGGTATTAGAAGTGTTTCTTCTTCGTCGAAAGTTGAATAAGGTGCCACATCACGACCTTCATCCTCATTTATATCAAGAATAAAAAGGATATTGCCAGCGGAGAATTCTGCCTTATCTCGACTTCTACTCGTAGATGAAAAAGCTAGAAAGCAGAGACCCTTGCTCCAGTCACCAGCTGATTGACGATATTGATCGATTAAACTTTCAGAGAAGTCGGCTCCACGATAGACAGTCATCTTTTTGTCAGTAAGCGGATTCGGTAGCATTTCTAGAAGGAAAGCAAAGAGTCCAAGAGTACGTGCTTTCATTCTCCACAATTTTTGGTGTTGTGTGTTCAATTTGTCGGTCTGGAGTCGCATTGATTCGTTTAGTTTTCTGTAGAGAAACGAGTCGTGACTATAGAGTTCGGCACAGCACTCAGCGACTTCCTTCCGTGTTCCCTTCTTGACGCTGAGCAGCTTTTGGGCCATCCACTCGGCACGCTTCTGTTTGCTCGCTTTCTTTCCTTCTATAACAATACCTTCAGCTGCTTTCTCGACAATAGCTGAAAGAAGAGCTGGATCACCTGCTTCGTCGTAACTGAGACCCAAGTTCTGTTGACAAGCTTCTTCCAAAAACTGACAGTTACTAGGCAAACCGAACGACGTCTCTGGAGCAACGGCACTGGCTACGAATCTCTCTTCTCGAAGGCGTCCAGATTGAGTTGTTCGCTTATTGACAGATCGTCTCACAGGTCGTTGACTCATCTCGTCGTTATTCGATATTTGTCGAAGCTGTTCGAAAACAATGTGATAATCGTCGAGAATCGCTTCCGGTAGTTTTTCTTGAAATGCCTCCTCGATGATGGCACTATCAATATCACAATAGGGAGTCCATTTCTCAGATTCTTCGAAAGACCAAACATTGTCGTTTGATTTCCACTCCCATTCAATGTGTTGCTTTGGTACGAGAGCTGTTGAAACGTGTGACATTGTTGAAGGAATTTTCTTTAGAAGATGATATGAAGCGAACTTGCTACTGATGCGCTTTGGTCTCTACTAGTCGAGTTGATTTCAAAACATGATGTATAAAAAGATAAAACTAAGTTGATAACGTGTCAACGAGAGGTAAAAGAGATATGATTCATAAAATCATGTATATGTATGTCGGTAGTACAGATTAAAATTCATTTCAGTTCAAAACTGTCTTCCCACGTTTACAATTCCGATGCGTAATTCAGGCATCCGATGATGTTGATATTTATCCTATATATACGTACAATCAATTATATTTTGACATAACTCAAGGCGTGATCTTTGGATTTATTAGTTCGAAATTTGATTGACAGTGTTTGCAATCCAAATACTTCATGTTGAGAAAGAATCAACAGAACATTCCAGAAAATCTTTTTTTGCAAATCATGATTGATGTGATATAGAACAAGTTTGACTTTTCATTTCAATAACAAGCAACTTCGTCACATCATCAATGAATCCTTGTTTGAAAGTCGCTATTGTAGTCATCATACTCACCACAGTGATCGTAGTTATCACTGTACCAACTGTTCTCTGTTCACGAAAAAAGAACAACCGAAGTCCTGCAACGGGTACAGTATTCCTGTTTCCCTTGCCATCTAATAAGTTTCATTTGTCGTTCAGATGTATCGTCTAGTTCTCCGACACATCCATCAACAGTAACAACAAGTAAGCACACAAATTCTTTTATCTTCCAATCGCAAGAAAAACGGCGATGGTTTTAAAAAAATATTTGATTGTATTTATTCATTGTAGATCATTCAACAAGTGACCACAACATCCTCATGACGAATTTGACAAGGAGTACGACTGAAACTTCTAGCACAACTACACAACCAATAACTAGTTATGAATCGGAAGAATCAAATACGAGTAAGATTTCTCAAATTCGTGAAAAGAAATATGCTTTTGTTTCTTCCTAAGCCCGAAAATCGGTCTTTGTTTCGACATTATCGGGGAATAGTAACAATTATCAATCTACATCTTCTTGCTCTAATCTTCTGCTAAAATATGAAGCATTGGAGTTTTACGCTTCAAGAAGTGGATCCTACCAGTTTATTTTTATATCTGAACAACATATAACTTTCGTTTTCTACGAAAACAGTTTTAATCCAGCTTTTAAATATACAAATCTAGGCACTAGAGCAATTCGTTGCCCTTCAATTCGTCGCGTTCTTTTCGTCGCCGCTCAATTCGTCGCCTATTCACCCAGGTCAACAAATCCGATGCTGGATCCGAGTATGGGATTGTTCGACCTGGGCAATTCGTCGCATTCAGTTCGTCGCGACTTAATGAAAGTAAAAGAGAGAGAATCAGACACAAAAACATCTGTAATCCAATTACGCAACTCTGTAAAGACTTGCTAGAGTCTATTGAACAAC